ATTTTGGGGGATAATTGGGACGTATACAAAATTCAGGTGAACATGATAGGTTGTCCGCGGCCAGTCAAAAGACAAGATCGATATGTTCGTAAGTGTGCTGTTTTCCCAATCCTAATTGATCATATTAGAAGATCAAAACATCATGAACTTTAAAACTGCGTTAAACAAATGAGGTCCCTCAGGTAAAGCCTACACGTCTCTGAAACCACAGAGGCACTTAGAAAGACACACATAGCGTCTAGTTTCATTGATTTTAAATTGCCGTTTTCTTTCTCTCTGTGTGCCCCTAATCCATCAGAGCTGTCGAGAAAGATGCTTCCCCAAATCTCGTAATCTCTCGTCGATGAGCGAGACTAAATAGCAGCCTTTTCAGCCGCCATTTTGAAACGAAATCCTCGACTGAAATTAATTACGTCGGTCTGTAAAAATCCTGCGTCACAGAGGGTAATTTTTGTCTTCGGGAAATGATGACACATGTCCGGCCTCTTGCCCCAACAAAAATTTCATTGTTAGAACACGCCAAGTTTTTTATTATTCCCGAAGGAAATATTAATCTTGCTCAGTACAAAATTTCAGCTTGCTCACAAATCGGAAATTGTGTCATTTGGGTTATCGGGTGATTTAGTATATTTGGATAGAATTAATTTAGGCTCGACTTTGATGGTATACGATGTATAAAACAAGAATCATAAATCAAAACACAAAACAAACCCGCAAACTCAGTCACATAAGCAAATACCAATATTTAACATGTATATAATTATATATCCAATACAACAGCATAACCTATGGTTTAAAAAAGTCTTAAACTTATTTATTTCAGATACATAATTAATTATTCATATATTGAATTATTAATCTAGAGTACAGATGTAGCCACTAAGTTCATCGCGTGTCTATTAGGAAACCTTCCAGAAAACCTTTTTCTTTCATAGCTTCGATTAAATTATGGTTAATAAAGTTCCTAATTATAAACATCAAACTTGAAATGTGCACGTACTGTATCAGTTATCAGTAATGGGGTTAATCCTCAGCTGACATCAGTAATTACAAATCAACAAAAACGGAATAAAACGGGGTTTTTCCAGTTTCTAGATGTTGCTCTCTTTACATCGTGTCATATTAACGATTAAACGAGAGAAAACTATGGACTTCAAATTACAACTCGACCGTAAATGTAGAAACCCCGTTTAACCGGACGGTACCGTCAGTTAAATCGTCCGGATTAACAGATGTCCGGATTCACGTATCATGTGTATGCAGTTGATTGTCCTGATTATGAGGGGTCCGGATTAACCAGGAGAAGTTTAATTGTATTCAGTGTAACAACATTACAATTGAATGTACATATACAGCAAAGGTTATTCTAAACGTGTTCATTCCTAAAATGCAATTCGCATGTCAAATATCCTTGAATGCATGTTATTATTACATCTCAGATATGAGTTGATCTATTGCCAATATCAAACGAAGCATTGGGCAATGTCGATATCATCAGTTGACAGTTGTTGAGTGTATAATTATGTATGTTATAATTGACGCTTGTTGGCATGCATTTCATCCCCTTGAGCTAAGCGAGTCGTTGACACCCAACATGTGACTCATGGTTCTAGAACACGGACGGGAATATTGGTCGGATCGCCACGTCGGGCGCAAAGTTGTCGCTCGTGATACTAACAACGAAAAATGATTTAATTCTCAAAACGCTCGCTTTTAACTTGAAATTAAAATCTGTGGAACGGGATCCGATAGGCACTTTTTGAGCACTAATCAGCACATGGTGAGTCATATTGTGGCATATGAAAGCATCTCTAAAATTAATATTTCATGAAGTAAGATGCTTCAAAGCATCTCTTTGCTTCGTCAATTAAAACCCGCCTGTAATCACATATTGAAACTATGGCAATGTTTGAGATCGTGATACACGATAGTGCTTTGATGAGCATATCAGATGCTTAGTTGGATTTAGGATGCATTTATTTGAATTTATTAATTTAAAAAAATATGTTTTTGCACTTGGGTCAAACGAACCAAATTGCATTGCCATATCGTTTAACATCCTTTGTGAAGAAGTTTGCAAATCTTGATTGCTGTTGACATACTTGTGTAAGATGAAAATTCGTGTTATGGGGAAAATATTTGATTTTGATATGTTATCAGAAATCACCTTCGCCCTCGTCGCGATGAACATTATCACAATCATCATCATCATCATCATCATCATTTCAATCAGATTCTTTATCATACATCACCATCGTCGGGATCAACATCATCATTATAATTATCATCACACTAAATATCATCACCATACCCCACCATTGCCATTGTATTGATCAATAACATCATCATCAACAACAACAACAACAACAACAACAATAACAATAACAACAATGACATGCCTAGCAACAATACTTTTGCAAATGCTTAAGTGTAACAACAAAATATCAGAAAGAGACCCGAACTACATCTAATTTCCCTCCAACTGGAATGACTTCACGATTAAACAGAGGGGAAATACTTAAGGACGGTGTAACAAACAATGTCATATCAAGGGCAAAGTTCTCCCGCGGTCTCTGACATAATCCCTATGATTGACCACTGGTTGTGTGTGTGGCAATGCGCCGAGTTATTGTCCTTGACGATGTATGCGTCAGCTACATCAGTAACTTCGTATTTCCATGAGAAACACACGTCCTTCATTGTTCAAGGGCAGTGACGAGTCATGCACGCCATTGTATTGTTTTTGCGGAAATACATCATTCCCACTGTTGTTTGTTGGGCCTGTCGTCTGCTCGCGCCTTGTTTGTGCAAGCTTGCCGCATCAAAACTTTGTTTCAATAATCTAATATTTTACCAGGCCTCAAAGCTGGCTTAGGTAAAGCAATCCTATGTTTTAGCTGGTGACAGAATTGTTTCAAGTTTACCATGACGTCATGACGTTAAAACCTCCGGCAGCGGTTACTCCCCTTTGTCTGTTAGGTTTGATAGTGATACAGCTGAGTAGTGCAGTGTCTTATTCAGACTATGCGCGGATAATGCAAACTGGTATGCGTTGTGATTGTATGTTAGTTTGAAGTAAACATCCAGGTTTCTTGATCAAGTGACAAATTCTCGCGGAAAGTAAACACCAAGGCGGTTGGTAAAAATATAAGAACAGGATTTCCTTGATCTGCAATGGGATTATCAAATAGCTGTTATTTCCTTGTATCGAAACCGCCACAAATAACAACAATGTCAGTGTGTTCGAAATATGTGAGAAAACGTTGTTAATGTGTTGTTAAAATGTTGTTTTGTTTCTTTATTGTTTCACGCAGAACCCATCAATACCCCAGCTATATGACGGCTATCTCTTAAAAAATAGAGTCTTGGCCAGACAATCCAGTGATTGAGACCATGTGCATCGATCTACGCAATTGAGATTCGATGAGATGCATCAGCCAAGTTAGCGTACGTCACCGGATCCCGTTAGTTGCCTCTTACCAGGAGCATGGGTTGCTGGAGATGGGACTGTTGTGTTGTTACCGTGTTGTTACAGTGCTGTTACCGTGTTGTTGCAGTGTTGTTACCGTATTGTTGCAGTGTTGTTACCGTGTTGTTACAGTGTTGTTACCGTATGGTTGCAGTGTTGTTAACGTGTTGTTACAGTGCTGTTTCCGTGTTGTTACAATGTTGTTACCGTGTTGTTTCCACGTTGTTTCAGTGTTGTTACCGTGTTGTTAACGTGTGGTTACCGTGTTGTTAACGTGCTGTTACAGTGTTGTTAACGTGTTGTTGCAGTGTTGTTAACGTGCTGTTGCAGTGTTGTTAACGTGTTGTTGCAGTGTTGTTAACGTGTTGTTGCAGTATTGTTTCCTTCACATGTCACAGTGGCGTTTCAGGGAGGATGTTGAAAATATTTTCTGAAATGAGCATGATGATCTTATTTCATTCAGCAGTCCTTTTAGCTCAATACGTTTAAGGGTAATCATCATATCGAACGCTGGTATATTGTGAAAATAAAAGCTAGTCCACAGAGAAATATGATTTATAATAGGCCAGTTTTAGACTGGCATCCCTGGGGAGGGGCAGAGGTAACGACGACGATGTGGTAGTTGTGGTGGAGGTAGTGTTAGTAGCAGCAACAGGAGCAGGGATGTAAGTGGTAGTAGCAGTGGCATCTGTAACAGCGGTGGTAGTAGTGTGTGTGGTTGCGTGTGGTTGTAGTAGTGGAAATGGTTGTAGTTGTAGTTGTAGTTTAGCAGAAGCTAAAGCTAGAGATGGATGCTGCAGTGGTGGTGGTTGTAGTTGTAGTTGTAAAAGTAGTAAAGGTTGTGGTGGTTGTTGAAGTAATAGTGGGTGTAGTTGCAGAAGAAGTAGTAGTGGTTGTGGAGTTTGTAGTTGTAGTAGTGGGTGTAGTTGTAGTTGTGGAACAAGTAGCAGCAATAATAAACGAGGTAGACGTAGTAGTGGTGGTAGTAAAAGAAATAGTTGTGGAGGTCGTTGTTGTAGAAGTTAGTGGTGGTTGTAGTTGTAGAAGTAGACGTGGTTGTGGCGGTTGTAGAAGTAGTGGTTGTAGTGCAGGAGGAGTAGTAGTATTGCGGTGGTTGTAGTTGCAAAAGTAGCAGTGGTCGTGGTTGTGGTTGTGGTTGTGGTTGTAGAAGTAGTAGTGGTTGTGGTGGTTGTAGAAGTAGTAGTGGTTGTAGTGGTTGCAGGAGAAGTAGTTGCAGAATAGCTCCAAAGTACTCCATGTTTGCTTCTCCAACCTCATACACACGCCACCTGCTTCCTGGCATGTTCTTGTCGTAAATCGAGAAGCCGATAGCTTGGGATAACTGACTTTGCTGTATCCCTGCGTCCCGACTCCCTGCTCTTGATATTAACCACTGGTTTCTGATTGCTTGATGACGTCACTGTCCATACATTACACTGTATCCAGCCGTTGTGTACGTATTACCTCTTGGCTTTGATATTTATCAGTCATTTGCCTTCTGTTTTTAATTCACATACTAAAGCATACTCACCAGAAAACATTTGAGCTTTGATGCTTCAGATTGCTTATCCCCCCGGAGACATACAAGCTGTCCCCCACGGAGCATGAGGCGTGGTCAGCCCGGGGGCGTGGCAGCCCCTTGACGTCATTCCATGTGTCTGTGCTTGGGTCGTAGCGCTCCACGGAATCAGTTATACGGCCTTTCTTAGTCTCTCCGCCTAAAACAATCCAGCAGTCAACTCAATAGTTTAACGGTCAATTCAAAAATTCAACAGTCAGTTTAACATTCTAACAGCAAATTAAACATGTACAGCTAAGGGTCATTACAATAACTTAACAATTCTACCACGGCTTTGAAACCTCGATTCTTATTTCAGGTTTCAAATCACAATAACCGCTGAGCGATTGAGTGAATGGTGTTTTATTGAATATGGCGGTGAGCGATTGGGTGAATGGTGTTTTATTGAATATGGCGGTGAGCGATTGAGTGAATGGTGTTTTATTGAATATTGTGGTGAGAGGTTGGGAGAATGGTGTTTTACTGAATATAGCGGTGAGCGATTGAGTGAATTGTGTTTTATTGAATATGGCGGTGAGCGATTTAGTGAATGGTGTGTTTTTTAATATTGCGGTGAGCGATGGAGTGAATGGTGTTTTATTGAATATGGCGGTGAGCGATTGAGTGAATGGTGTTTTATTGAATATGGCGGTGAGTTATTGGGTGAATTGTGTTTTTCTTGAATATGGTGGCGGCCGATTGAGCGAATGGTGTTTTATTGAATATGGCGGTGAGCGATTTAGTGAATTATGTTTTATTGAATATGTAGGTGAGATTGAAAGAATGGTGTGTTTTTTAATATTGCGGTGAGCGATTGAGTGAATGGTGTTTTATTGAATATGGCGTTTAGCGATTGAGTGAATGGTATTTTATTGAATATGGCGGTGAGCGATTGGGTGAATTATGTTTTATTAAATATGGTGGTGAGAGATTGAAAGAATGGTTTTTTTAATATGGCGGTGAGCGATTGAGTGAATGGTGTTTTATTGAATATGGCCGTGAGCGATTGGGTGAATGATGTTTTACTGAATATGGCGGTGAGCGATTGAGTGAATAGTGTGTTATTGAAAATGGCGGTGAGTGATTGAGTGAATGGTGTTTTACTGAATATGGCGGTGAACGAATGAATGAGTGGGGATTTATTGTATATGTTTGTGAGGGAATCGGGTTTTCTTGAAAATGGCGGTGCTCGATTGAGTGAACAGGGTTCCTTGAAATAATAGTGAGCGATTGAGCGAATAGAGTGTTTCTGAATATAGCGGGAGTGGGAGTGAGAATCCACGTCGTAGGGGTACGGTGACACCAATCAACCAAGTCACCGATCCTGACCACCCGCTCCAGAAAGTCGATTCTACGACCAGTATAGGTTACTGGGGACCTCTCCTAACCCGGAATCCCCCTGGGTTGACCATGTCAAATTAACTCTCTGCAGCTGAAGTTTTGTGACATACTCAATCTGTCAGCATCTTGGTATTGCGAACCATGTGATAAACTTCTAAATCAAATAATGATATCATGTTCCTCTGAATATTTATTTCACGTATATGTTTGTAAAAAATTAGTACATAAGTCTTATGGTTAAAGCGTTCGTTCGTGACGTCCAAGTTCGATTCCCAACATGGGTACAACGTATGAAAGAAATCGAGACATGATATTTCTGAAATATCGCCAAAGTGGCGTTAACTATATTGACGCACAGAAAAATTGTGACTTAATTATACATCTGCCAAATATCACAGATATGTACGTTACCTTTACATTGCAATAGGCTGCAGAAAACTTCCTAGTCACTCATATCGATCGTTGATTGGTTAAAATTCCTGTAAAATCTGTCTTCGTAAGTAAAATGTCAGGATTAGCATCATCAAGGAACCTCTTAGAGACCGAAAAAGGATTTATGTTTGTAATCAAACACTTATTTTTTCTTGATTCAGTTTCCAGTTTAATTTTAGCCGCTTTGACGTATGCGCTGCTCTTTCTAGCTTTTCTGTGAGTCATACAGCCTCACAGAAATGTAGGTGAAATCCATACATCATAGGAACCAGTGTTACTGTTACAATAGAATGAACATTTATTTCAAGTAAATTTTTATTTAATTATTATATAGGGTATTTATATCCGGCTCACGTGCTGGTAAGAGGTGTGTTGAGACGTGGTCAAAAACATGTGATGAGATGTGTGCTGAGTTATGTGGTGAAATGTGGTCAAAACCATGTGGTGATATGTGTGGCGAGAGGTGTTCAAACACATTTGGAGAGATATATGGTGATACGTGGGTCACAACATGTGGTGAGACGCGTCAAATGCAGGTGGTGAGCCGTGTGGTGAAACATGTGGTGAGACGTGGTCAAATGCAGGTGGTGAGATGTGTGGTGAGACGTGGTCAAATGCAGGTGGTGAAACATGTGGTGAGACGTGGTCAAATGCAGGTGGTGAGATGTGTGGTGAAACGTGGTCAAATGCAGGTGGTGAGATGTGTGGTGAAACGTGATGAGACGTGGTCAAATGCAGGTGGTGGGCCGTGTGGTGAAACATGTGGTGAGACGTGGTCAAATGCAGGTGGTGAGATGTGTGGTCAGACGTGGTCAAATGTAGGTGGTGAGATGTGTGGTGAAACGTGATGAGACGCGGTCAAATGCAGGTTGTGAGATGTGTTGTGAGACGTGGTCAAATGCATGTGGTGAAACATGTTGTGAGACGTGGTCAAATGCAGGTGGTGAGATGTGTGGTGAGACGTGGTCAAATGCATGTGGTGAAACATGTGGTGAGACGTGGTCAAATGCAGGTGGTGGGATGTGTGGTGAGACGCGGTCAAATGCAGGTGGTGAGATGTGTGGTGAGACGTGGTCAAATGCATGTGGTGAAACATGTGGTGAGACGTGGTCAAATGCAGGTGGTGAGATGTGTTGTGAGACGTGGTCAAATGCAGGTGGTGAGATGTGTTGTGAGACGTGGTCAAATGCATGTGGTGAAACATGTGAGGTGACGTGGTCAAATGCAGGTGGTGAGATGTGTTGTGAGACGTGGTCAAATGCATGTGGTGAAACATGTGGTGAAACGTGGTCAAATGCAGGTGGTGAGATGTGTAGTGAAACATGTGAGGTGACGTGGTCAAAAACATGTGAGATGTGTGGTGAAACCTGCTTAAATACATGTGGCTGGACGTGCATGGTCAAAACTATGTGTCGAGATGCACATACATAAGTGGTTCACATGTGAGTTTTAATTGATTTAAAGTAATGAAGCTCGTTCAGAATTTTTGGCAGGAAATAGACGTGCTTTGCAATTGGTTACAAGGTCTTGTCACAAGTTTTTGACACTCTTTGAAGTTTTAGAAGCGACGTTGGGACACTATTAACGAAAGCGTTTAAGAATGACACCATTTCATGAAAGATGTATATCCGGAAACGACATGGTTTATTTAAGTAACTCTTTTTTATACAGAAAAAGATAACTACACTAATAATATTAAAAACCACTGAAAATCTATCTAAACGCATGACCACTGATGATGATACATGACATCATACACAGTCTACCCGCTGGCTCCTCCCCATCAATTCAGAGAGATCAAATAAAATAAAATCAAGGTCCTCATATCAGTAGCTAATCCTAAATTTTCCAGCAAATCAAAAACGGCGTGAAAATTTGCTGAAAGGTTCTTTGGTTTTCGTAGCGTTTCTTTGAAAAATGGGCACCTCTTGAGGCAGTTAAGCAGAAAAACGCAATCAGATCAGCTGTGCTGACAGATTCCTGCTAACACTCAAATGAAGCGTCGCACGATAGCTTATGCCCCACGAAATTCCTACACATCCTCATCTCTCGGAGGAAATTAAAGTCTAAAAGGAATTTCCCCGAGTGAAATGTTGTGAGTGGTCGTCAATGCACTAAGAAGTGATTCAGGGTTTAGCGCGGCACAACGTTTCCATAAATTGAATGTTGAGGACAATATTCATAAATTATGCCCCTAAACATCTGCCATCATCCCCCGGGGACCATTAACCTTAGACCGGGGCAAACGGGTTTCCGGGCAGCGTTGGGTGAGCCTGGCAAACAGTCACTGGTAGAGAATCAGCAGCAAGCAATTATCATTAGATCCCGTTCGTAAACAAATTATTGTCCAGTAATGGTAGAGAATCTATTTAGAACCTATTACAAATCAAACTCGTCTTTATGAAAATAAAAGCCACAAACCCCTTTCCATATTCATAAGAAATCTCTGCCAAAAGCAGAGTCGATTATATGATTCCGACTTTTATTATCATGAGCATGCGTTTTTGAATCACTTTCAAACAGCTATGATATCTTCAATTGGTGTTTGAGAAATCTGTATTATGTGTACGTATGTGTGTACGTATGTTTGATATACACAAATTATATTAACATACTTATTAACTTACTTACATCCTCTGGGATTTTACTTACACGCGCTGTCATCGCCGTCTGTCTAAGAAGGCTTAGCTCTACGATTGTCGTAACCTACTTTGTTTACTTACAAACAACTGTCGATACTCTATTAACGCCTTAATTGCTTTTCGAAATTGGCCTTGAATTATTAACATTCAGCGTATATTAAATTTAATCAACTGGCTCGTCTCAATCAGGATCCCGTTATGTAGCGACAAAATAAAAGCTAAAAAATCCTTACGTTTCCATAACCATAGGATTAAGTGAGTGAGGTTGGTTTTAGGCCGCTTTTAGCAATATTCCAGCAATATCACGTCGGGGGAGACCAGAAATTGGATTCACATATTGTATCATGTAGGGAATCGAACCCGGGTCTTTGGCGCGACGAGCGAACGCTTTAACCGATAGGTTCCCCCACCGCCCCCATAATCATAGGAAATATCCATTATACCTTTAAGCCAACTACGCATATCACTACGACAATATGTTCACATGAGGGCACGGGTGGAGCTATCGTCCTAAGCGCCTTAATTCGCTGTGTTGAGTCCCTTGGGGGCGCCACACTCATATCGTCTGATAGCTAGTTCGAATCACAGATTTCCCTCGATTATTAATCTTAGTTTGTCACAACAGTACCCATGCGTGGGCGTCATCATAAACTGCCAGGCAAAAGAAAGGAAACACTTAAAAAAGAACTCGCCTAAATTGCGATCCCCCATGTTCCTTGAGCCATGTGCACGTCACCTGTTGTGGGATACTCATTGATGTGGTGCATGAAATATTGCCTATGATACCCCATCTTCCCAAGGCAAGTGACTTGACTGACAATCAAAGTCCAGTTTCCACCCTTGCCGAACTAGGCTGAAATTATGGATGCAGATTTCGGTCGATTGCAGGATTTGCCATGTGTACCGCTAACTCGGCCTTAACAGATATGTTCCAAATCTTTTCATGTTCTTAATCAAGGTGCTCACGTGATTTGAGGCACGTCGCGAAGTAAGACGCGTTTGATTACAATATAGATTTCGATTATCGATTAGATTGTCTTGGCTGGTGTCCGCCCTTTTGTTTGAAGCACATGCAAGTCATATGAAAGGTGGAATCTGATTGGTCAATAGGGGGGACATAGAAGAGACGTAACTCGTCATTACCACTGGTGGCGCTAAGTCCGAGCCCAGAAATTCCTACCTAGTTCGGCAAGGATGGAAACTGGACTTTCACAGTCAGTTAACTCCCTTGCCTCGGGAAGACGATGATTCCCGTATCATATACATCACCATCGCATAACCATTACTCGTTTGTTTCATTTTTAGCCACCACCAAGCATGGGTGTATACTAGTTTAGTTGTCAATCCAACATGACACAGCTCGATGACGCTTACCACTGTTCCAATACCAGGAGCAAGGGTATGGTGCTAGACTAACATTTAGTCTCTGAAATCTTATATTACACAATATCCTTCTTGACTCTAAAAATTTTTTTTTTTCCCCTATGTTGATTTCAGAGTGTTGAATAGAGCTAGCTTGAGCTGGCTAGACTTGCTTTTGTATGCGTTTCTAGATTATTATTTTTTCCTAAAATAAATATATTCCACGGTCATGGTGAATAGAGCTAGCTTGAGCTGGCTAGACTTGCTTTTGTATGGTATTCTAGAATATTATTTTTTCATAAAATAAATATATTCCACGGTCATGGTGCAGGACTATTATGGTGCTAACAGGCCAAAATTTGTAATCAGGGAGAATCTTGGCTGGAACCCAGCGCCCACGGAACGTGGTTCGATCGATGGATGCAACATCAGACCATGGGGCCTTCCCGACTCAAATGATGAACATATTCTCCCGTGGATTGTGCGACGGCATTAAAAAACATTCTTACCTATAACGTAAACATGGCTGCCAACCACTTCCGCCGAGAAGCGACACCTAGGACTCTTCATGGGACATAACTTTTCCCAGACGTTGGTAGAGGGGTCGAACCTACTGACATCAGCTACATGTTTGCCAGTCTCCCAGTCTTTACCGCCCAGGATGTACAGGCAGTTGTCGAGCACGACAACTCGGTAGCTGCAGATGCCTTTGACGGCGTTCATGGTGAAGACGTTCATCTTGGGAAAGATATGAGACGGATGCTTGGGATCGACCATGAAATAATTGACTCGGGGACTTCCGGAGGCTTTATCAAACAGGAAGAGGAAGTCGTAGGCCTGCGAGATCTCAGAAGGAGGCTCGTCTTTGACCTCCAAGTCCTTCATGATGAGATCGAGGAAATTGGTTGGGTTTTTTCTTTCTGAAATTAATACGAACATATTTTTAAACATATATATTTATGTAACATTTTCTGTAAAAAATAAACGTCTTGACTATAGAGACGATTGATTTTCTTGAGCGACATACGTAGACAAAATGTGCCTAGCATGCGTGGTGACGATCAAACAACCTATGTAGGCACAACGAACTCGCTGGCTCTTCGGGTGTTCTTAAACCGTAAAACACTGGTTGTATCGTGAAACATTGTTCACGTTTCAAGCAAAGTTCCTAATTTCATTATCGTTTTTCAAGAGTGTATGGGTCCAAGTCGGTTTCGTTTTCACCATACACGTGTAAGAAAGAAAAATGTAGACTTTTCATATGACTAAAAGAGCATTAATCGAGTTCCAGAAAGAACAGTTTGCCATGTTTCATGTTACAAGAAAATAAATAAATAAATTTTCTCGCAGGTTCCATATTTTGGCGGCAATGGTCATTCTCGCTTCCTGCACCCCTTATTGCTTGTAGACCGCGACAGTTTACTAATCAGGGCGTGTTAAAGATAGCTATAGCAATGTTTATTGCAAGAAAATGTTAGGAAGGATGTTTTGGCGCCGATTTTAGCAATATTCCAGCAGCTCACAGCGGGTGACACGTGTAAATGGGCTTAACACACTGTACTCTTGTTGAGAATCGAACCCGGGTCTTCGGTGTGATGAGCAAGTGCTTTAACCACTGTGCTACCCCATCCCCCTGACCGAGTTCATCCCTGAACGTGGGCGTCCCGGTTGACAGAAAGGTGGTGTGTGTTGCGTAGTGCATGCTTTGCATGAACGCCTGTTAAGTATTTGGCTAGTATAATAGTTTAAATTTGACGACTCTACATTATGTTTTATAATTATTAATTAATCCTCTTTAAAGCTGGGATATCATCGGATTCGCCACGTTCATTGTTTCACAAAAGACTATATTTTGCATTTTATCCAAACTACACTGAATTTATTGTTGTGTCTACCTGTCAATCCTAATTTTAGATGATGTCTAACCTCTACTGGATTGCAACAGTTTGTTATGACTGTAATTGTAAACTTGTCTGGACAGAAACATAGACTGTAATTATCAGCAGCCATTGCGAGACTTAGAAATAGTAGGGTATATTCAGTCCTTGTCTCTGTCTCGCAGTCCCTGAATCATATTATATTCCCCTGTGTCCAACCCTTATTGTTATGCTATTGCCCGAAATGAATCAAGTCTAGATTTTCCCAGTTTCCTAGTTACCTCCACAGAGCGATAGCATTAGCTGAATATTTTGAGTTAGGAAATTTTATTTCCAATTTTGGGAATGTTAACTGACATTTGTTGCAGAGTTGGGGTCCAATATCGCCCTCTTAGCCGGTCTAGGTATATCCCTGGTATATCAGTCATATCATGAGGTGTCTTCTGAGTAGGTGACTGAGTTTGGTTTACCGCCGCTTTGAAGAGTATTTCCCTATGTGATACAGGTCCAGGTAGATTACCACTTTGGTGAACTGTAGGAAAACGTTGATGTTGCTGACAAACACAGAAACAGAGCCTTGACTCTGGCATTCGAACCTTGCATTTCTTGCAGGCCCAAGGTATGGAAGTCTGCATTCGTCTTATTCAAACAACCATTATAATTGCTTTTCATCTGTTTTCATCTGCCAGCTATATCCATTAGAATTATGGCAATAACATTTGAACATCTGAATTTCATAATCCACGTGTTGTGTTTTCATTATTTATTTTTATCATTTTTATCAACTTTAATTAAAGTGCAGAATATTATTCCAAAAACATGAAAACGCCATGACTCACGCAGCACTAAAACAGATGGCCTCCTTTAGAACGCACGTGAAATAATTTCAATTTACTTTACCGAATTTTGCACCTAACATTCACGTTTCATCAAAGTCATCCGCCATTACCCGTGGTAAAGAGACAATTGTTCGGGAGAGAAAAATCGATAGCGATGATTGTGACGAACTTTGTCAACTGTTGCGGCTTATGGATACATGCGCTCGGCGTGCGTTGGGGAGGTATCCCACCCTCTTTCTTCCCCGTGTCTACAACATCCCAGAGACTAATTGCCTAGGTGTAACCATCTCTTGTATTCATTATTGATGGTTTAAGAAAAACGAAGCTTGTGCAATTAACTTATGAGTCATCTGGTAACAAAGACTTGCCTCCCTGTGTTGCTGCCAGGCATTCTACGGGACCATGTTAAAACAAACGAAATCAGGTGAAAAAATGATCGTCTTTGTTTGTTGTTTGACAATTCAGGTATGGATACGTGTAGCAGAAAGAGTCTTGTTTGAGAAACTCCGTGACGAAGATTAAAACAGGATGGCGGCGAGATAGGGTTATGTTTTGTCAGAAAGCAGTCCACGTGTTTGACAAAGTCTTTTCAGCGAAAGCTGGTTGGGGAATAACGGTGAATAGGGATAAATCTGGATTGGTTTATTATCGAAGGATTTAATTACAGGTAGAGATAAAGCAAGTTGTTAGGGTAATGTGACTCATATGCAGGTAATCTTGGGAGCAGGCGTGGCGAGATTACAATGGCTTTTACGTGTGTTATTTTTTTCGGGTTTTTTTTCAATTAAATATTCTTTTCAAATTGTCGGTTACTACATTCGATGACGCACTAAGGATTGTGATGTTTGGCAGCATATACTGATTGATTATCTTCTAACTGGCAATGACATTGATAAGCTGAGGTTATAATCACAAACACATCTTGCACCATTATACCGTTCTTGATATGTGATGATCATGATTGATTATCAGTGTACGACTTGTACATGTTTTGCTATTATTCTAATCACTTTATCGTCATTATCATCATGATTATAACATTGTATACTGTACAATTACAGTTTTGAAGATAACGACGATGATAATGATGATGATGATGATGATGATTGATTGATGATGATGATGATGATGATGATGATGATGATGATGATGATGATGATGATCGTTTATCGTTTTTGTCCTTTTTATGACAACAGTCAATTGTGTGAACAGTTGCTCATAATTCAGATTTTGTTACTGGTATGTTGATGAAATTAATAATGATGGAGACGACGAAGAACATTGCGGTGACACTGCTGCTATTGTTGTTGCTGCTGCTGATGATGATCGCGATGTATATGACGATCATGACACTAGTTATGTTTACTGTCTTGATTAACGGAGTGCATTCACCAACGATCATAAGCAACAAACCGTTCATTTAATTACGTCTATTATATACAGTTCAGACTTTCAAAATCCGTCGCTTCAAAAATATTTCATTAACTAAATCATCGCCATTGTAGCTGTGCAAAGTGCAAATCCGACGGCGATTAGTCGAACTTGCATGTACATGTATTAGAAATAAACAATATTTGGGGTGCATATCACCCGTTCACAAAGACGACATTAGCCTAGATTTAACTTAACACCATTAGTATACATAAGTGATATACTTAAGCTCGATGAGTCATAGAACCCCCCCCCCCCCCCCCCCCCCCATACCCCTCCGTCTTTCCTCATGCCCTTCAGCCACGACCTCCCTGACACGTACAATGTCAGTGTTTGTTGACACCAACTGATATACAAGGAAACGTTCAAGGAAAGGGCAATCGCGCACATAGGTAAGGTAAACAGTCTGGGTCAAATCGACGTAACTACCAACCAATCAGAAACCAGTTATCGGGTTTTCCCCTTGTCGATGTGTGTCTATAAATAGCTTCAGGGAAGCCAGCTTGAAGATGATGTCATCCTTGCCCCGATAATGAGTTTGAGGCTGACATTTTGTCAACAAACATATAAGCTCGTGCTGGTGACATGCATTTTGGGTCACACGACTATTGGCAAGTAAATAGACACGAAAAAAGATATATGTCTAAATTTGTTGATAGTCACGTTCAGTGCCCACACGAAACGCAGGTTACTATAGCAACCGATTGAACAACAGCAGGCTGTGTGGTTTAGTTGTTTGTGTTTTTTGTATGTGCATAAAATTGACAGTTATTCTGCAGCGTTTTGCAATGATATTAAAGAGTGTTAAGTTACTGACTACTTAGCAAATCTGCTGGATTCATCCTGGATGAGGAAGTGTATTACTTGCATATGCAAGTAAGGGTAAAGGAATTTAACCCTTTTCACATCACGGTTTAATCAGATGAATATAAATGCAGTGATATTGATGCATGTCAGTTTAATACTGTTTGACAACCAATGAATACAAATGTCATCGCTCGGTAGTCAAGGACCTTGCATTGATGCGGTTTAAGAAGCAGCGCACACCCAAGGACTGAAATTGAGAGCTTGCCATGACACTAAACAGAGGCAGATACCATACACGTAATATTTACATAATATTATTGAACATAAACACGAAAATTAGGCACCAGGGGGTCATGCTTCTTCGTTGAGGGGGGCAGGCGTGTCAATATCACTGATGCACTGATGATGTTATTGACAGTTCGTGTGAATTGCACGTGAAACATTTACAGATGTAGTTTGAAGATTTCTGTTAACTATGCGTCATTTATTGTGAAAAACACCTGAGGAACAACGGCATCTGGCGAAGGTGAAACTAGGTCTTACTACGTCATCCCAACCAGTCCACACTGGCTCAGACTGACTGCTCCTCGCCACAAGCAGGCCAAATCAGGTTCGCAGATTGTCAACACGGTGTTGACGCAAAGCGTACCCCTCATAAAAAATCTGCTGCAGCGTTTTTATCGTTATAAATATTTCTTTCATATTGTTTGAACTTGTACAAACAATGCAGATTAAATCCACAACCTGTTGTTTCCTACTGAGATTAATCTGCAAATGATTGCATTTTACTACCAATAAAATAAATTTGTATGTTTTTTTATTTGCATGTTAAATCAGCCTCTAAATTTAGCATATCACATCATTTTGCAATAAATCGATTTGGCATGATTTTCTGTGTCATTGCCCGTGGGAACGGCATGGGGTTTTAAAGCCATACAAAACACACGCTGCGAAAAATTGCATATG